CTCACAGCCTTTATACCATGTTTCATCAGGTAAATACTTTCAGGCACTTAGCATCAAGGAAAAAAAAACGGTATCTTCTGCAGTAATATTCTCTCTAGAATTAAATGCATATGAAACTGTGAATCCAGTGCATTTCATTTTTCTTTTTTGCTTTGGTTACCAGAAAGTACTGAAGCAGACATAAATCTTAATAACTCATTCATTCCTCTATGTATTCAATAAACAGAGGCGATCCTATTATATGTCGGGCATAGCCAAGCTGATGGTGATCTTGAGCTCAAGGACGGGGCCAGCCTTCCAGAAAGCCATGGAAAGATACTGAATTAACAGGCAGTGATTTCTATGATTGAGGTATGGGTACCATACTTGGGAAACTCAAAGGAGGGGCACCTCCCCCAGTCTGGGGTATGGAGGGATGGCAGGGAGAACCAAGAAAAATGTCCCCCTAAATTGATATAAGATATCAGCTCTGGTTCTTAGTAAATTATCTCTTATTTGATTTCTGATGTTTCTTCATTCTTTCTTTAAAAGTGTTTTAAGCCTCCACAGAAATAGTTTGAGAAAAATACATATTTATTCATACATATACATATTTAAAGTCACACAAAACTCACCAACCAATACCTTTTTAACCTAAAAGAACTCTCAAAATTTACCAAAAGAAAAATGTTTGCAATGGACATTACAAAGGGATCCTGGAAAAATCAGATACAACTGGGTACAATCTTCAAAGAACTGATGGTCGCTGTGAATATATTCTTTGACTCTGAAATAACTTTGGTTTAAAAACATTATTTTTTAAATTTAGCATATTTTTAACATTGCCAGCTTCGTTACTGTTTATTCCAACAGGCCAACCCCAAAGATCTTGATTGAGTAGCTCTGGGCTGGTAGATAGTGACTGACAATCCAGATTGACTAGATGGTTTCAAGATGGATCCTGGCTTGCTTCCAGACTTGGCTAATGCAAAACCAGTGCATTCTTTTGCCTCCTCTTATACCAGCTTTTCCCTCTGCCACATCATATGCTATGAGAGGATTGGGTTGCTGGCACAACTTCAAGTTATATCAGGGATGCAAATCTATCCCCAAGCAAACCTGCTCTTATTTCAGACTAATACTCTCCAGTGCTCTGAATTGCGGGGCAGTAAAACAACTCTACATTTATGTAAGCATTCCCATCCCCCAAGGAATAGTTTTCTGTGTCTACAAATACCTTAGAAGCCATAAAGAGTTTGGTGGGTTGGAGACATTTTATGGCTTTCTAAAAAAAAAAAAAAAATTCCATGTAATAGAAATAAGATAAATTTAGTGCTTAACCACAATAACAACTGCTTTAATAAGGTACATTCTATGCATAATTCTCAGGTAATAGTAGCTACTTCATAAAATTAGGGTAAAAATGTTAATATCCCACTTATAAATCAGAATAAGCCAGGGAAGTGAGATGTGCCTTCAGGGAAGGGCTGCAGGGGGAAGCTGACTCTCACCTGAGTACTCTGCCTCGTCCTTTTCCAGCTCATATCCAGGGCTGTCTCCCTCCTGTCAGGTCTCTGCCCCAACACCCCCTCATCAGAAATGCCTTTCCCGGCCACAATTCATAAAATAGCACCCCCAGCATTCTCTAGCCCCTTCCCTGCTTGGTTTGCTCTTCCTCCTGCCCTTCCTTCCCTTCCTTGCTTCCTTCCTTCCTTCTTTCCCTTCCCTCCCCTCCTCTTTACCTCCCTTCCTCCTTCCCCTTCCCTTTCTTCCTCCCTTTCCTTCTGTCCCTCCTCCCTCCCTTCTCTCTTTCTTCCCTTCCCTCCTTCCTTCCTTCTTTCCTCCCTGCCTCCCTCCTTCCTTCTCTTCCCTCCCTTCTTCTCTCCCTCCCTTCCTTCCTCCCTCCCTCCCTTCTTTCCTGTCTTCCCTTCCCCCTCTTTCCTCCCTCCCTCCCTTCTCTCCTTCCCTCTCTCCCTTCCTTCCTTCTTCCCTTTCTTCCTTCACGCCTTTTCTCCCTTCCCTTCCTTCTTCCTTTCTTTCTTTCTTCTTTCTTTCTCCTTCCTTCTCTTCTTTTGTCTTCCTTTCTCTTTCTTACCTTCATTCCTTCATTTAATTATTTTTGCATAGCACTTTTCACCACCAGAAACATATTTGTTTTCCCTCTTCCCTTAGTATAACATATGCCCCAGAGAGCAGGGACTGTTTTGTTCATTATTGTATCTCCAGTGTCTGGTACCAACTAAGCATTCGATAAATATTTGCGGAATGGATTTTTCTTATTTTACTCTTTCAACTTCCCCACATTCCATCCATGCATCTCCATACTGAAATTGAAGCACACTAATGGTAGAAATAACATTCTCCCAACCTCCTTTTCTCTGTTTCCAGCAAAGAGCAGCACCCTACAAAAAGTCAAAGCCAACTGAAGCAAGTGCCCCAAGAAGTTCTGTTAATCCTACAGCAATATATCTAGAACTAACCCTCACAGAACAATATTTGAATGTATTTCAGCTTCGTGGTTCTGACACTCTTGAAAGAAGCCCAGTCTGCATGGTTCCCAAAAATATTCTCTAAGAGTTCCCAAAGAGAAGAAAAATCAACAGCAATGTCTAGTTATGGTCTCAAAATGAAACAGATTTATTCTGGCTATACTGACTTCCTTTCCAGAATCCAAAGGGAGGGGAAGGGAAAGGTGCTAAGACTCATGATTGTCAATGAAACTGTGCATTCATGCACCTCACTCAACTGACCACATAGCCGTTTCCCAATTCTACGTTGCAATTCAGATTCTCTCTATCCCCAGTCACCTTCCTGAATAAGAACCTTTGGACCCTTTAAATCTTGTTATGTCTCACAAAAGAGAAAGCAACTCAGATGTGCACAGAAATGAGAGGCTGTGAGCCACTTAAGTTACTAGGGATCCAGAACTCTCAGTAAAAAGAAAACCACAAAAAGTAACTAAATAAGCAGTACTGTCCCTAATCCATAATTGCTCTTGTTCCATCAATACAAGGGAATGTACCATAGAAAATAATTTTTAAATAAGTAAATCAGTAAAAGCATCAGTTCACATAAACTGAGGGGCTTTGAGCAGACTAAATCCTAAATCTCAGCATTCCGTCTTGGCACTTGCTACTGAAGCATTCTACTAAACTGCTTGCCAAGGAGCAATGAAGCAGAGCCCCAGCAATTCTTTCAACAAGCTACTGAGAGTGGAAGCCTAATTCAGTGGGGTGGGACCAAGCACAGCTAATAAACTGCACATCTGTAAAATGGAAATAAGTTGTCCCCAGTCTTTAGTACTAACTCTCCTTGCTAAGTAGCTCTAAAAGAGTTTCCAAGCCTTTCTTCTTCTTGGCATGTAGCTGCCAATGAGTTTATTTCCATCTGCAGAAAAGAGAGGCTGCCAGAACACGGGGTTTTCCCCCCATACTCACTAAAGCTGCCAGGGATTGAGAAATTCAAGTTGCATCTAACCCCTTCCCTGGAGAGAGGACACATGGAATCATGTTCGACATGTTGATGACATGTTAATCATGTCATTAGCCTATATACATTTCCATGTCCCTTTCTTTTTGCCCAAACAGAAATCAAATAATGGTACTTGGAAGGTGAGTCCATTTACTCACGAGCCCTCTGAATGTAAGTCTGTATCAGGCTCCAGGGTTTCATCTGGAATGTGGCTTCTATTTGCTGTAGGCAGGGAGTTTAGCATGGCCCTGGAAATCTCACATTTTCAAGGTCTCAGAAAAACAAACTTCATTCTAGGCATGGCTCTTCTTCAAGAGTTCAGTGAAAGAAACTCTGCCCCATTTAATTTGATTCTGTGCAACCAGTCTTGACTTGCCTATGATTGTTTCTTAAAAAAAAAAAAAGTGGCGGGGGAGCATGACAGTATGGAAAGAACCCATGATACCTGGCTTTGCTCAGTCCCTTACTTGAGCACGTCTCTTCCCTCTCTTGGACTTAGTTTACCCATCTACAAAGCACAAAGACAAAACTAAAATGATCTTTGAGAATGCTATCTACAATTCTGTGATTCTGTGGATTTTTCTGAGATGTTCTCTCTCTAAAAGAAGCATTTTCATCATCCATTCTTTCTGGGCTCTCATTCCATTTTTAACTTTTATTCCCACCCCTACCCCACCCCACCCCCCACCCCCGCAAAAAATTTTCTGTGTGACTTGAAGACTCAGACAGGAGGCCAACTTAAGACCCAGCTCTCTGGTCATCCCAGGCTCTGACAATTTTCCCATCCTTTGACCATCAAACACAGGGAGGAGAGAAGTGGCACTGACTGGCCCACACAGGTCCACACATATGCTTCCTTTTGGGGGCTGGAGGATGGCCCTTTCCAACTCTGGGCTTATAAATTATTATGCAGGAGACTTATAGCACTGCAGTAATGAGTGAGTTAAATCACCTTCCCAAGATGCTTCTCTTTCTTCTCTCCCTTCTCTTTAGCATTCTCATACTTGCTCACTTTTTCTTTCCTTCCTTCTTTCTTTCTTTCTTTCCTGTTTTTCCCTCCCTCTTTCTCGTCTCATATTTTAACTTGGTCCTGCCAGTACGACTATGGAGGTTATTTAGACTTCATTCATAAGATAAAATAAAACCAGAAATCGCTGCTTATCTTCAGTGAACAAATACACGAGACTAGGCCTCAAAGCTATTTGAAGCACTTCCATGCTGCCAACATTAAGAAAGCTGTAACATAAAAGCATATGAGATTAAATGAATTCATGATCGCAAATTAAGATCAACAACTACCTTCATGACAAAATATTCTAGGGAACAGCTTTGTGTTGAAAGTTCTTTCATAAAAAGTTGATATGATTAGGGGAAGATACTGAAACCATGGTATTTAACCAACGAACAAACAGCATAATCCCTGAGATTAATGAAACTCCAGATCACGATGGTTTAATATATTTTTGCTAAGCATGAGTAGCTCATGTGGTGAGGATTTATAGTTCAATCAAAATATCTTCTCTACATCCACTTGTGAACATAATACTCACAACATCCATGTGATTAACAAAAGCAGCCTAGTCCAGGAGGGTTGCCAACGGCAGGCAGAAGTGTGGCATATCTAAACAAATGAACATGAAAAGGTATCATTATGACTGGTACTGTAGACATTTGGGATAAAGGGCTTTTAAGTAAGTAGGAGGATTCAGGCTGAGGACACATCATGAAGGCCCAATAACCTTTCTTAGCTACAAACCAGGTACAAGAAACATTTAGATTTTGCATAGCATCCTCTTGTTCCCAGGTAGAAATATCTGATGGGCAATAAGGATACCTGACCTCAAACCAGGCAAAGTGGGAACCAAAGGGAGGCCCAAACTTTACCTGTACAATGTCCACTTGTAAACCTAATCCTGAATTGTACCCCACATTGTTAAAATAAAATTTAAAAATTAAGAAAAAGAAATATATGATGGGACATAGATGGCGTGGATGCAAGTTCTCAGTGTCTGCTGGAATAGGGAAGGAGAATGCAGTCAATACTCCTCTCTCCAGACATGGTGCATCACTTGATCCGGCTCTGCTATAACACAGTGGCACCAGGCCTAATACCCTCGTTCAGATGCAGAATCCTTTGGTTATGAACAAGCACCTTCAACTTTACCTCCACATGTAAAGCAGAATTTGCCAGGTCCCTAAGATGGATGCTTAACTTTTGTCCCTCCTTGATTAATTTCTCTGTGGATGTTTGCCTAAATAAAGACTCATTATGGTATGGCTACAGAACCTGAGCCAAACCACACTGATGTCCAAATGTCATTAAAGCAATGACTTCTCCGTTTCTCCTCCCCTTCAAGAGGCATTTAAGGTTTGTTTTTTGCTTTTTTCCCTAGAATAATATGAATGTAGTGCATCTGGAAATTTGCCATTTGGGGAGCCGGAGCTTGGAGGACAGATTAATAGAGCAGCACAAACTGTCCTCAGCAAAAGCTCCATGGTGGAACAAAGCTTCCAGCTGTGTCCTGATAACCCAAGGCAGATAAAAGCACAAGATGTGGAGGGAGAAGAGTTGTCATTGGGTCTTGATCCGGTTGGCCTCTCAGGGACATACAGGGAAGTGGGGAATGTATTCATAAGTTAGAGCACAAGGCCTACAATACCTGGACCAAAGATGAGGGCCTAAGATGAAGCAGAAGCAGAAATCTGAGAAGCAAGAAGAAATAAAAATGAGAAACAAAAAAGTCACTTTTTTCACAAAAGGAAAAATGGTATCTCATCAATGTTGGTGTTTGGCTTCCCAGTGGCTCCACATGAGCACTTGTCTGTGTGCCTCTTTCTTTCTCCTTCCCAGGCACCCTAGCCCTGTTGGCAGGTCCCAGGCTAACGTCCATTACCATACTTACAGAGCTCCTACCTCACACCAGGCATTGAATTAAAAACAAATGATATAAAGATGAAGTAGCCGTACTCAGTGGCTCAGCCTGTAATCCCACGCTTTGGGAGGCTGAGGTGAGTGGATTGCCTGAGTCTGCGGGTTCGAGATCCGCCTGGGCAACTTGGTGAGACCTCATCTCTACAATAAATGAAAAAAAAAAAATTAGGTAGGTGTGGTAGCATGTGCCTGTAGTTCCAGCTACTTGGAAGGCTGAGGCGGAAGGATCGTTGGAGCCCAGCAGGTCGAGGCTGCGGTGGCCGGGAGCGGCCACAGCACTCCAGTCTGGGTGATAGAGTGAGACTCCAACTCAAAAAAAACAAAAAAAGATGAAGTATACAGGCTTTCTGCTCTGTCTACAAAGCCTTATCAAGAAAGCTGGATAAAGTCCACCATGAGTCTCATCTATTTAATCATGGGCGCCAACAGCTAAGGATGTTACCCACATCACAGGAAAAGCATTACAGCTCTAAAATACACCTAGCACTCCCCCATCTTTTCCTAAAGGTAACTTCCACCATCCAGTAGATATACATGCTATTACACAACTGGGGCTGCATTGCAATGACTTAAAGATTATCCTCAGTTAAAAGCCCGGAAGAGAGCCAGGTGCAGTAGGTCACGTCTATAATCCCAGCACTTTGGGAGGCAGAGACGAGAGAACTGCCTGAGCCCAGGGGTTCGAGACTAACCTGGGAAACTTGGCGAGACCTTGTTTCTACAATAAATCAAAAAATTAGCCAGGCATGGTGGTACATACCTGTGGTTTCAGCTACTTGGAAGGCTGAGGCAGAAGGATCACCTGAACCCAGCAAGTTGGGGTGGCGGTGGCCATGAGTGTGCCACTGCACTCCTGCCTGGGTAACAGAGTAAGACTGACTCAAAAAAAAAACAGGAGGAGAAAACCCATAAGTTTATCGGTGACTTATACCTCTGAATGAAGGAGTTAACTGCATTCTTCCCAAAGATGATATTTTCAGACAGAGTTTGAGGAGAGATTTCATAAAAAATAGTATGGGATGGGAAGCATATGCAGAGGGCAGTCAGACCTGGCACATGTCCTAATTCCTTCAGGCCACACTCTCAAGAAACGTCCTGCTATATATTCCCAAGCTTATGGAAATCATTTATACCCTAAGTAACCTCACCTGCTGTAGCTCTTAGATTTTTCTTTTCTTTGTCTCACTCTGTCACCCAGACTGGAGTGCAGTGGCTGCTCCCGGCCACCGCAGCCTCGACCTGCTGGGCTCTGGCGATCCTTCCGCCTCAGCCTTCCAAGTAGCTGGAACTACAGGTGCCTGCTATCACGGCCGGCTCATTTTTTGATTTATTGTAGAGATGAGGTCTCGCCCAGTTGCCCAGGCGGGTCTCAAACCCGCGGGCTCAGGCAATCCACTCACCTCAGCCTCCCAAAGGCGCAGGATTACAGGCTGAGCCACTGAGCCCGGCTTTTCTTTTCTTAATAGGGTCTTAGAAGTCAAGAGGACATGGTTTTTACAGAAACCATCCTAAACATATGGATTCTGGTCATTCTTGCCTTGCAAGTCTCAGGCCGATAACCAGCGGAGGGCCTCTTTGTGTTTGAAGGATATGCCTTACATGCTGAGTTTTAGAAAGCATGCAGTTGGCCCCTAAAATCCCATATGCCCTTTGCTATTCACCCATTCAACATTACATTTCAACCAATCAGGCATTTCTCATCGGAACAGAGATGTGATTCCCTAGGTAAGTTCTCTTTCTCTCATTTGTGAAGTTAAGGCTGGTGGCCTACATAATTCTCATCAGATTTTCTTTTGGTATATATAACCAAGGGGATGAGGGCACTAGGCAAGATTAAAGATAGAGCAGTCACTCAAAAGTAAATAAAAGGCAGGTGATATGTTCTTTATTGGCATGTCTTTATGTACCTAAGCAATGAACAGACGCATAACCTTCCACAAAATGTCCTATCACTATTTGTTGATACAAAAAGCTCTGCAATTGCCCTAAGAGATTTTGACTTGTTTTGTGAGGTTATTTTTAAAAGAGAAAAGTAGGAAATGTTTCACATTCAAAGACCCTCTTACACTATTCACTGGGAAATGTTTAGTGCCTTACACATTTCTTTCAATAGTTTCAATAGTCTCTATCCAGATGAGGCAAAAACACTCAAGACCGCCTTGATTAACACCAAGCAAAATTCAGTTCTATTTCCACTCTCCGTCCTTGTGAGACTCTCTCATGTAATTACAGCAGCTGCTCAACAACAATGTGGGAAAAGATGCGGTACCAATGATTAGAACCAGGACAAGGAATCCATTTTCAGAAAGTATCCCTAAAGTCCATGATTTGGATATATAATTTAAACCAAATAACTTGCTCTACTAATTAAAGACTGACCTATCAAGAGATTTGAAAAGCTATTTGGAGCCGGGCTTGGTGGCTCAGCCTATAATCCCGCGCCTTTGGGAGGCTGAGGTGAGTGGATTGCCTGAGTCTGCGGGTTCGAGACCCGCCTGGGCAGGCAAGACCTCATCTCTACAATAAATCAGAAAATTAGCCGGCCGTGGTAGCGCGTGCCTGTAATTCCGGCTACTCGGAAGGCTGAGGCGGAAGGGTCGCAGGAGCCCAGCAGGTGGAGGCTGCGGTGGCCGGGAGCAGCCACTGCACTCCAGTCTGGGCGACTGAGGGAGACTCCAACTCAAAAAAAACAAACAACAACAAAAAACTATTTTGGAAATTTCCTAAATGCCATACCCAAATCTCCGTCAAGTCATCTGGAATTCAATTCCAGGAAAGTTTATTACATGGTAGGTGTGACTGGGTATAAAAAGAAAATAAGACTCAAGCCTGGTTTTGAGGAACCAAATGATGGCAACATTATGTTGAAGAAAAAAGAGTTCTGTTTTTTCTTTAAATAAATAAATAATGTAAATGTTATCTGTTAACTGAAAATATATATTTTAAAGGAATTGAATATTCAAATATGGGGTCTAATTTGTTTATTTTAAAAGCAGTCACTTAGCTATTAAGTACTATAATTTGAAGATACACCTCTGGTCAATGACCTCAGGGGAATTCATCCAGTAAAAAAAGATGATAAGGTAGAATGTGAAATGTCACTGGGTATTAGGGGACCACTATGTCCCATAAACAAAGAGTACAGCAGTTCCAGGTCTAACAGACAATCAGGTCTAAGTTAGCCGTAAGTGAAAGAAAACAAGGAACTAGAACATCTACCTATACTCTGCTAGGTCATCCCACTATAATATAACAAGATCCTGGATAAATACAACAAGCAAACCTTATACTGCATTTCTGACCACCAAAAAAGCAAAGAAAGTGTCCCCAAAAGGTGCACATACATACATACATACATGGAAGGAAGGAAGGAAGGAAGGAAGGAAGGAAGGAAGGAAGGAAGGAAGGAAGGAAGGAAGTGAGATACAAGATAGAAATCAAAACAGTAAGTTGCCTGTAAAGCACACATACAAGTCGGGGTTGCTCTGAGTAAAAAGCAGGTGCTGCCAAGACTGAGCACTGGGTCCCTCACATGGTGGGTAGCTAAGCCTGACATATGCAGTAAGCCAAGATCCTCAGAGGAAGTAATCCCAGGTTAGTCCTGCTCCCAAGCAGGTCTGGACACAGCTTCAAGGACACAAAAAATGCAAATCTTCTCGGAGAAGAGAAAAGCTCTCAATTTAAGTCCT